TTTTTATACTTTAGCAAACGTTTTCAAAGTTACGGATTGAAAATCTGTGCATTCTTGATTTTCTGAAACAGTAACCGACTTACGCCTATGTGAAGGAAGCGTATGATTCTTAACTGCACCTTTCAGTATTAGCCGCAATCTRGCAGTAACAATTTCCCTGTACTGCTYACAGCATACAAAATAAAACAAAGGACCGAAAAGAGCTTTAAGATAGGTAAGCAAGTAAATTGCGAGCAATGTACTGGCTGACAATGAAATACTAAACAAGCTAAAGAAACTRATGACGTACATTGGCATCCAACCAATCAGAGATAGGAAGGTTATGACGATAACAAGTTTCAAGAACTGTCTATGGTCATGATCAGCTTTGGCATAAATTTCAGCAAAAGAAATGGTGCCTTTAAACTTGTGCAGCTTACATCTGGGTCTGTCATCCCTTAGCGGTATGGTGTAGGACTTGTTTGATTTTTTGTGGACTTGCTCATTAGCTGTCTCTGTATGTTCCTCTTCCTGATCAATTGATAAAGGAGCATTCTTTCCTGTAGTCTGTTTTATGCCAGCTCGTTGATCACTTGTGTCTTCAAACATCAGCGTCTTCAAGGACTTAACGGACTCTAATGGCCTGCCAATTTCTTGGATATTAGTTCTGGCAATTGCAARAAGCAAATTCTCAATGGAATTTGTAGTGCTGGAGCTCAACTCGGACTGGGAGCTTTGCATTGTTGTCTGTTCAGGGTCGTTATGCTGCAGCTCGTGTCTATGTCTCTGCCACTGGACTTGGAGGTGATAGCGTTTTTGAAGTTTAAAAGACAGACAGCTTAATACTAAGGCTACAGTATGGGCACCAAATGAAACTGCAGTTATGAAGTATAGATAGTGGGTTGAGGTGGGTGAGCAATTCTTCAAGTTGTTGTCATAAGAGTAGGTACCCMAYCCGAGTCCGATACTGGAYAAACCAATCGCCAAAACCCAGCTTGCGATCAACAGCAAACGAAACYGTCGATTTTTAGGGACAAAACGATGGATTTGACGAGAATAGAAAGCCAAACAGAGCCAACCCASTATCGAACTAAGGGCAGTGAAGGCTGAGAAGAACCCCAGGGACTGGCAAACTGAAGGATTTTGAGAAAACCACGAGGAACCTTGGAAATGCCCAAGCAGATAAACACAGCAGCCTATYACTACTRAAAGGATATCCAGCACAGCAGAGTTGACAATAAACAATGAATAAAAATACTGACTGAAACGCGTTGCTACTATCAACCCTATGTTACCAAGGCAACCAAGTAGCGTAGCAACAAGTACGATGAGAATGTCAATGGCTAGCATGGCTGATCAAGACAACATTCGCTGAACGGACGATTTTCGCTTCTGTGAAGAAAGAAAGAGACAAATGTTCAATTTAGTTAATCTAATCGGTAAAATGGTTAAGATATTTATTTATACAATAGATTAAATATGACGTTGCCATCTCAGCAGACCTTGAATACTTAGAAAATTACTAGTTAAAACTAGACTTTATAGATATATTTTCTTGGAATAGTTGATATATGAATGTTCTTGGCATTAGTCTCCATTAGTATTCTGTGCTATTTTTATGTTATGTTATGTTATTTCTTGGAATAGTTGATATATGAATGTTCTTGGCATTAGTCTCCATTAGTATTCTGTGCTATTTTACCACCACATCTATCATTCTTCATTGTACCTTTTTAGTAAAAAATGAAATGAACTTGAACTTGACACTCTAAGCTAAGATTCGAGCAAAATCGGCGGCCGGAATTGTGAGAAATCATGGATATTCTYTGGATCTGCATTGTGATTACAATACTGACCAAAACTAACAGTTTTTAGAAAATCAGAATGATGAAAATCATAAGCATATCAACGCACTTATGTATGAATACACTATTTCATATATTTATATAGTTTTGCAAAATAGAGGATGTTCCTTAAACGGCATTTCTTTAACGAGTACAATTATATAATGGGGTATAGGTATATATGTTTTTCTTTACAGAGGACGTGGAAAATCATGTAGGAGTATTCAATATATATTCATGAAATACTGAGCAAAAGCATTTACAGATAAAATAATTGATCAAGGGTCAAATACTTACCCTGGCTTTTCGTTTATGACAACTGCGGAGATTTCTTTCGATTGTTGAAAAGTAAGTCAGCAATTTAGATGTGTTTTTATTGTGCGATAACAGTAACAATGGGACAAATGCAAAAGACTTGGAAAAGGAAAATGCGTTCGAGCTAACTAACAATTAACTGGTATTGGGCCTGAATTGTCGTCAAGCACGGGTTTGATGATGTCTCTGGTTGACATGGAAACCAAACTGCRCACTACTTTGGTTTCTTTCTTTGATTTTAAGACTAATTTATGGATATGAAATTTCTTATAACTTTCTTTACTGTCTAAATCAATCAAATCCACGATGATGATAGAAAGATTATATTTAAACACTTAAATTATCAAATCATTCATAAAAGATACTGCATTGTTAAGTAAAATATTTACAAGTTATTAAACCAAGTCCAGGTCGAGCTGAGTAGCGCTCGTCGTTTTGGAACTTTTGGATGACCAAAGTTCAATTTTCGGAATCGGTTTCCATTCGGGAAGAACTCATAAAGCAGCCCAAAAATGAGCCTGTGATACTTATGATCAGCAGAATTATGAAAAATCGATTAAGWATCATCGCAGCAGATTTCCACTTTTCTTTATTTAAAAGTTTCTGGCTGTCCATCTGGGCTTTTTCCGCCATGTACTGCAAATGAGGGTTCGGCATCGGTGGTCGCTTGAGTTCAACTGGTTCTGCTTTCTTTGTCATATTCGTTGTTTCTGTTACAAGAACTTCAAATAAAATTAAAAAAGTTTACGATTAATTCCATTAGCCGGAAGTTGACACTATAGAAAGGATTGTGTCCAAAAGGTAAATTTATAGGAGAGCGCTATTGCATTGCGCGCAACGCTTCAAACTGAAACTCAAGAAAAATGCGCCATTGATGGCATGCTCTCATAAATGTTGCCATGCTATTATTTTAAAACTCCTACCCTACTGAAGATATAGATTATTTTCTACTATACTCTTGTTAATGTCATGTGAAAGTCTGTCGTTCAAGATGTTCTTACCAGTGCTATGCCCATGTGTTTCGACGTCATTTTCCTTAACATTACCGCTACTTTCATCTGCGACATTGCTCTCTTCCTCTGTCACGTCGTCCTTACTCTTGACGAAAAATACATTRCCTCTGACAAACGGTGGCTTAGCCGGGGAACCACGGACTGACTTTCCTTTGTTTTGTGAATTATCATGTTCTCTTTGTGGATTATCAGAGTTTGTGACCGCTTGTTCTTTCACAGTAACCATTTCCTCAGTCAGGGGTTGGTCGTTCATTTCTTTGATGTGTTGTTGTTGGGTCGTGCGACCAGAACTTGCTTCACRTGTTTCRTCCATTGGGATATTTTCAAAGTATAATTCTGATCTAGCTTCTTCTGTTGACTTTTTGGACTGATTACTAAAAGGTGACCAATATAATACAGGATAAAGGTAGCCAAATAAAACTACCTGGAAAAKGGAGAATAAAACAGTTATGAGTGAATTTGAAAATATGAGTGATGAACGGGCAAAATTTTGATGAATTCTTCATAAATTCCCATTCATCACCTGGAGCCATCTTGGAATATGATAGACATCCCATCCCGATGGATTCATAAAGTAGAAACTGTAAACCCAGCAGGAACAGCATAGCGAGATGACGAGTATCACTATTGTGCAGCCGTAAAACTTGGTKAGGAGTGGAAATGACTTGGATGTGATGGGCATTTTGGAGTTGACAAGCATGAGATACACCGACAGGCACAGCAATAGGTTAATTCCTGCCTCTAAAAGGAGAAACGATTGTAAATATAAACGGCAAAAGCTCCCACCCGGAACCGTGCAGTAAAATGGGAATAATAATTGATTTCAAAACGCTATCGATGCACAATGCCCCGATTGAGCTATAAAAGTGATATGAATGCTTTTTATGTGTTTTTTCTTTCCTTTTCTTCTACAGTCACATGTTCCCTCTCTTAATTCCTCTTCTGTCCCCTTGTTCTCTATGCGCAGGAGCTGATCCAAGGGCTACCCAGGGGGCCCCTCCCCTTTTTTTGGAATTTTTTGATCCGTCTGTTTATATTTTTTATCAAATATCTTATCATTTATATCATAGTAAAATTATGAAGCATGTCTTACTTGTATCGCATTTTATCATAGGATTTTTAAAATAATGTAAGCAATAAAGCCYASAAATGGAAGCGTAGAATTTATATACCCTCTCAAAATGTCTAAATCTGACCCTGCCATGTATGTTCATAGGGACTTACCCATTCTCTTTCCAACCTCTGGAGGTATCAGAAAGACAAGCAGTGACAGTACAGCAATAATCACAGACGGAAGCACRTAGTTAATCAAATAGAACAAAGCATTTCTGCGAAGATGSAGCTTCAACACCGCCCTTGAATAGCTCTCATTGGACGAGGCGTCAAGCATCACTCGTCTTGAAGCTTTGGCCGACAAGATCTCCCACTCGTTGTGCTTGCCGTACATTGATTGGTCAACTCCACCCTTATAAAGCTGRATGTTTACCTGGGATAGGTCATGTGACCATGTACCAAATGTAAGCTCGCATATTTGGTCATCAAATGGATAATTAGCAATGTCGACTTCACAAGATGAATGGATTGTTGTTGGCTGCGAGAAGAAAAGAACTCCATTGTTATCTAAACTTGCACCAAAACTAAGGCTTCCTTGGATGTTTTTGCCAAACTCTTGGATGCTGCCAGTTCTAGTGGAAAATAGAATCATGCCCACTTAAATATCCACAAAAGTGCAAAGCTCCATCAGCATTATCATGTGGTTATTACATCAAAATAATGGACATATCCAAAATAATAATCATGATAAAGAGACTAAACAACATATCACAAGTAGTCAGATTACTGTTCTTCGTTCTTTTGTCATTCAAGGWATTCCTTTTATTGCACTACAGCTAATCTCAGCATAAGGTTTTTTTTAAATTCAATATGCTCCTTGCAGTTAAAGATGCCAATACTACCATCAAAACACTTACGCAAAGTACAGGAAAACATCAGGKGTCCAAATTTCTTGCATTATCACACGAATCTGAGTAATGTTATTGTATTGAGTTGAATTCCACTTCAGCCTCTTATCGTTCCAAGCCTTGAGAATAAGTTGTTTTTGTTAGAATATCGTATTATTGTGTTTAATCATTTTCACAATTGCTTATGTTTRACTTACCAGACGAAGCCAAATGTTTAAACTTACTTCTTCTTTTTGAACATCCTGCAAGAAAACAATGCCTTATTTGAGCTAACGTCAAATCCACCTGCTAGAATTTAGACCTTGACGGGTTCTTGAAAGCTTGAAGAATATTATTGTGATTTACATTGCTTTTGAGTGTAAAATCACTAGCAATTCTGTCTAATACCCGAAAACTGTCTTCAAAAGAAACAGTTGATCAGTTTGAAGCAATAAAGGTCCGCGAAGGTATTATTTTCGACCCTAAGAGGTCCGTCCAGCAATCCTACAACCAGTTCTACTTTTACAAGTAGCGCCTCACCCTCTGATAAACACTAAACTAGTATTTTGGTGTTTGTAAGGAATTGTTTTTTTCTCATGCAAGTTATACATACGCACCATATTCATAAGGTTAGACAGTGCAACCCCAAGCTCAACTTTAATGGGYCTGGTGGGCTGACAGCCTTTGTTGTAATTAGTGAACAGATTTTTTCTCAGGCGATATTCAAAATCATTGCGCTCTGTCAAACCTGAAAGTCAAACTCGAAATGATAAACACTTAATTCTTAAAGGGTAAAAAACAAAAGACAAAAAGAAACGACAACAAAAACAAAAATTAAAAAAACAGCAGCATACAAATAGAAAATATAATGAACAAATACAGAAAGCTGGACTCAACAAAATGTGAAGAAACAAGAAGAGATGGAGAGGGTCTAAATATAACTTTTTGACAAAAACTACAAGATTTGACAGTAATTTTAAAAGCCACAATTTTAAATTTGCGCCAGTTAAAATATATATATAAAAAACGTTAGTTAACGTTTGCCAGTGTGTACTAGAAAAGGAATTATTGTGCTTAATTTCGTAATTAGTAATTGATAATCGGTAATTTGTCAAATTGTACTCACCTTCCGTTAAAGAAGCCAGAATTGTTGCTATGATAATGTAGCAGACGATATCCATTTGTACAAAAAACCAACCAACTTCGATATAWAAAGTCAACAACAACAAAATAAGCTGCAGTATGAAATTCTGTACCGAGTTGCTTCAAATTGGCAATATAGAATATATGTAAAAAATTAAATATCGGTTACGAACAATGATAACTGAGTGGAGATGAAATTAAAAGGAACCGATCATTTATAACGATCCTTGAAAATAGTCATTCGAAATTTCATGCTAAACCTTACTTTACTGCGATGGAAATGTTAATACCCTCGAATCAAATAAAAACCATATCAATTGCTCTTATCACTAATCTAGATTGCATTGGTTATATCATTCTTACCAAGGAATGGAGAAGCGGTGAACTTGTTTTATCAATTACTTCGTRTGGCTTCGGCAGCAAATAATGACTACTTTTCTGTTGTGTAAAGTGTTGTTATAGCAACCCGCAAAAGTACCTGTTCTTTTAAGAATTTATTTTTTCTCGCCAGTTCAATTATTAATCTTTTATGTCCTGTTATATATCTTGTTATATAACTTAGCCCGATTCTTTGGTGTTTACAGATATATAATCATTGATAATGGGATAGTAATAATGCTACTTCAAGTTCATTRCTTGTACTGACAAATCCGAAGGTCGTGGGTTCGAATCCCAGCGAGGTCGGAAATTAATTTTATTGAATTTATTTCCAAGGATCTTTCACCCGGAATAACCATCTATCTAAGTTCTATAGCTTTCCATTATTTCCATTTTCRTGATTGACAATGTAGTTGACAATATCAGTGTCACCTATCATTGGCAAATATCTTGTAATTGATGTTAGCTGATCATGATATTTGTGTCATTGTAGTCACTTATTCTAGACATTTTATTTCAAAAGCAATAGAAACTGTGTTTCATATCCAAGTTTCGCCTTGAAAGCCATAGCCTTAATGACATGAGAAGTTCATGCCAACTAAGCATATGCTAGGAAATACCTGTCAGAATTGTCCTATTTCTCTATGACGTCAAAGAAGAGTTTACTACAAATAATCTTTTTACCCAATTTTCTTTCTCTTCTAAAACTCAGACTAGCATGTCCAAGTTGTCATTATTGGCCTGTCTGATCACTAAACACAYYGTTTTTCAGTTTGTGTTGATTRCATTCTCTGTCTACTTTTGGTATAACCATACTTCTTAGCATATGTGACATCATAGTGAAATAGGTGTCACTTGTGATCCTGCATGAATGGTATCAAGGACAGACCGATCTTGTTAATGTCGGGCAATTTACATTTAATAACATTTTTATTATGTACTGACTAGCCATATGCTCACGCAGCTCAATGCAAAATGTGTTTCCATGGTTGCGTAGCTGTTCAGTTCAAACAGAGTTAGTAACTCTAGTCGAACTGTTCTATACACTAGTCCGCTATATTTCGAATCGTTCTTTTAGCTGCCGAATTTTAAAAATTTTTCGCGTGCTGAATTCTTCGCGAGTTTCAATTCATGCAAAGRCGTGTGGCATCTTTCAGGATGGTAGAGGTACAAGTTGCCATCAACCCAAAGCCACTAAAATTGCAGTGTCAATTATAATGTAACACACACATTTTATTATGATGTTGAAGATCATAATGTCAGATTGTGATTCATAGTATAGAGAAATTCTCCTCCATTGCAGTATAATGGACATTTCCTTGGAAGCTCATTTGGTTAGCTTCGATTTCTTGGAATTGTAAAGTCATTTGATACTATATTTAGAAACTCGATTTAGTAATATAAAACATTGTAATGGCGTAGGATATCTTTGCTAGCCATCATGCGTGTCCAAGTAGGCAGTGTGTTTGCTTCACTGATGTGATTCTGTACATGTTTATATTGTCATTCCACCAGCGCGCATGACGTCCTCATATTTGGTGCATTGTACTTAGTGACATGAGTATAATTTACATGAAGATATCTCCACTTAAGAAACGATTGAATGAGGCTTTGTTTCACTTAAATAAAAAGATTAATGAAACACCTCGGTATATATGATGAGAAATAAAGACTGAATACATTACATTCACACAATTTGAATTTTCGAAGTACACTTCCGTATGCCTGGCATACATCTGKCATCATMASCCTTCATTGAATTAAATTATTGGCGCTTTATTCGCTGTTTCCGCATCAGCCTTGTATCTTGACGGATGGAAGTTTTCAATAATGAGAAAACTTCAAATTTCACAATGGTTTCATATGCACGTTGTCTGCWTTCGAGAGCCGTTGTTTTGTCTCAGCAAGTTCAGAATATCYTCYGTTCTCGACTCAATGTTTTCAAGTCTTCTCTCCATATTTTCAATCCGCTGACAAGTATTWARCGACCAGGACAAATTTCTGTCCGWCGAGGCCTGGGGTTGGGGAATGTTCTCTCCAATCCCCCCGTTCATGCAAGACGAAGAGTTCGAGAGGACTGGTGCGTTATTTTTAGCTTGTTTATTGTCATTGTTTTCATCAATTGGTTCTCTTGGTGTAGGGTCGACATTCATAAGTGAGATTCCAATGGGCGCTCCTAAAGCYAAAGCAGACCACGGACCATGTCCWACTAAGCCACCACCTTTCTGAAAATATAATATCCAATAAAACATACATTATTAGKGTTCTTTATATAGAGTTATTGGTCTATGATTATGCAAGATTCCTGGAGCGCTTCTTCAATGAACAGCCCAAACGATTTTAAAGCTACTTTGAATTTCCCTGTAAATACCCGGTGCACTCTGTCCAATTGCTACTTATATCAGGCCAGATGCACGAGTAACGATAATTACAAGGGGCTAGCTACAATCTTTAGTAAAGGAGAGGAGCATTTTATAAGAGATTAGGACAAGCTTCGTTTACATGGACAAAAAGATTGTCACTGGTCTGATAACTGGGGACTGTTGCCTCATGAAAAGCCTTTTGGTGAAATGCATCTACAGATCTTCAGATTCTTGAATAAAAAAGCTTAAAAAGTCATCCCTTAACAGTCACTTACCGGGATACATTTACTGAGATCCAAGGTATACATATAATTCGTCATTAAATCTTTGATTTCAGGAAAATACTTGGCGATTTCAAAAATGTCAGACCAGGCAACGTAATGTACCTCGGTGAAMGTTCTCGCCATGAGAGTGGCATCAGCTTTAAGGTTTTCATGAGTCTCTTTAGTGATATAATCACATCCCACAGAATCTCCTTGACCTATGAAAACATGGATCAATGTTTGTGGCTAAAAACTATAACCATTGCGTCTCATATTAACAAAAACAGCAAACTCAATGTCTCTTATTCATAGGCTATTCTTTCCTTCAAAGACTCGGCGCCGCAGTGCTAGAGTTATGACAATTCTTGATTCATTTGCGGTTTCATTCTCAACAAACGTTGGCGGACTTAAATTTATTTTATTGCCAAACCGTAAATTACAATATACCATTTCTTAGATGTAGGCGCGGTTTCAAAATTACCTTTCATTTGGAAAGAAGTACCCTGAAGCTCGCATATACTTTTGCCATTACTAAATACCTCGTTTTAGTGCACGCGCGTACGAGATATTCTGGAACGAGCAACTTGAAAATCTTCTTTGATAATGAGGGCATGCAGTCAATTCATAAAGGTTTCTGATACTTATTGTCTTACCTAAAATTGAAATCGATTCTCCACCCTTGATGACGTCGACCGTCCCCAGAGCAAAGAAATATACGTACTTAATAACATCACCTTCCTTAATAAGAAAGTAGCTTGGCAGGTAATTGCGAATATTGAACTTGACAGACAACGCTCGAAGGCAGCTTTCGCTCATATTTTCGAATATCTGACACCGTGAAAAYACTTCACGATGAATTTGGACACATATGTCTGCTTGAAGACTCTCGGGAAATCTTTGCAAAACCTGATACACAAATGAAGAGAATTAAATTTTAGAAAACCTTACGTTGAAGAAGATACTGAAGGTGTAATCATACTGAAATGTGAGTTCATCCAAGTTCATTAAAAAGTGTTTTTAGAAGATGAAAATTGAATTTCCTCAAGAATCTCATCTTTCCAATTTTCCTAAGATCGCTATTCCGACCGGTCGTTTTGAGAGTTTAGTTGACCTCACCTGATCAAGCTGCTGATCCTTTTGTGCAGACCATTCATGAGTAAAGTATTCAGTCAGTGTGCTCTGCATACCCTCAGGAATGTTGTGCAAACGAATAAACTCTTTAATGACTTTGTTGTCTCTATGGTAACGAGCGGTCCTTGAGTATAGTCTTTGTATGATAGCTGTCATATTACCAAATATCGCCGCATACATYAGGGCTGAAATAAGTGATCGTTGGTTATATATATCAGTTAATATTTGGTTATGTGTATTAATATTTTATGTTACTATATTGAAGAGGTGCCATGATTGGAAAGTAATTGTTCCAGTCAAGTTCAAAGTAAAGAGRGCTTGTAGTCACCTGCGCTTCGCTGTCATGTTAAAGTCAAGTTAAGTGCAATCTTTGGTTAAAAAGTTATTAAAGTCACATTATAATACATAGCTTTTCTTCCTTTTTATATTAAATAGAATTTTGATAGGTCAGCGTGAGGGCCTAAGAAGTAGAACTTTTGAGTTGGCCCCCACGATTGACATTAGATTTCAGACCAGAAGGAGCATGAAATGAAACGGACATAAACATTATATACGTGACACAAATATCAGCTGACGAAGTTTATAGCTATGCAAATAGCCACGATGCAAAATTCTACTGCAGGTTCAGTAGTCTGTGTTACAATCATATCACTCGCAACAAAGGTTGATACCTACCGCCAGTAAGCATCATCGACACGGCAAATATCTTCTCCGAATCAGTGTTGGGTGCAACATTTCCAAATCCAATGCTGGTAAGACTTGTTAACGTGAAATATAGCGATGTAATGTAGCGGCTTTTCATGTCCGGCACACTTGGTTCACTGCTATTATTCGATCTCATTTGCTCGCCAAGGGTCTTAATCCATCCATAGCCTAGGTGTTTCTCCTTTTGGCCAATCCAGTGCCATAAACATGCTAGCCAATGAGCGACAAGAGTGAATAGACACGTGAGTAAGATCACCACAGCGAGCCCGTATTCAGAGTAACGATCAAGTTTTCGTGAKACTCGTACAAGTCGTAGAAGTCGAGCAGATTTCAGTAAGCCGGCGAGAGAAGCTGTCTGAAAAAAAAAGAAAAGAGAATAATATTTTCAATGATCAATGTTAGTACAAAACATAAACCTACAACTTTAATATGTTGGATTAGATATTTCTGCACTGGCTCAATTACGTCTGCCTCGTAAAATGTTATTCACTAACTGTAGAGTATTTTAATTGAGCGTCCGCCATTTTAATGTTGGAGCAAAGTGAGTAATAATGTAATAATATYAAGGATCTGGATCACTTTAGAAATCTGTAATTCATCTCTCAAATCTCACTTTGGTGGGAATGTCAAAATTTTGGCTTCCATTAAATGATATGATATCATAAATTTTTGGTCAATTCCAATTAGAAAAATCAGTTAAAAAATATAGAAGCGTAAGAAAAACAAACTTCCTCATTAAAAGTCTCATTTTCAATCCCTCATTTGTCATGTCTGATGATTTGTGAAGATACAATTGGCCGAAATTGTGTGTAATTTTACGGAGATCAAAGGAATTTCAGCTTGGCTCAGTTCAAAATGGCGGACATTGTAACGTGATCTTTCTCTGATATCCGACCATCTTTCCATATCTCTCCCAGGACATCATACGTGGTGACATCCTGRGTCTAAAAATTTGACTGATGTCTTGTAGCTCAGATCAGCTGTGATCGGGTTTCATGAAATAAAATTGTATTATGAATATGAAATAGGAACTAAATATTGCAATTTTATTAACCTATTCTATTAGTATTGTCACTGATGTGGAGAAGATTCGCGACTGGAAATTAAACTAGGGTATTGTTTTTTAACATATGGACTGAGTAATTCAGCCTTGCTCCAGGATGGCTTGCGCTTAGCGTGTGTTAGTTATTCGATTGATGTTAATGAGTGCTMTTTTATGTCTAAAGATRGACGACTGWACCTTGACTGATGTATTTTGTATCGCGGGTTTAATGCACTTTTTTCTGATCTTTTTTTTCAATAGTTATTTTTATTGTTGTGTGATCCTTGTATTTAAATTGTATTTGTCTTTTTTACGTTAGCGTTATACTGAATCACAGCATTTAAAGTACAAAGTAGGTTGAGAAATTCGCGTATCGAGCACAAAATGGTTAATAATATTAGTGAAAGCAGTCCGGAGACAGAACAACCAAAAGAGAAACTATGTAATTTAAGTCAAAAGTAAACATCAAAAATAGATAAATGAATAATTAAATAAGACATTCTATAAGTTAAAGTCTTACTGTAGGACCAGMATTATAACTATTAATTTCTCTTTTCCTCTGGCAGGATATGCTGGCCAACACAAAGCAATAAATACTTCAAGGCTTTGCGCAATTTTCCCTCTCATTTAAAATTCATTTCGATAAATTATTCCACACACATTATGATTAGAGTCAGTAATTTTTAATGAACGAAAGCGAAGAGCAGATGTTGGAGCTAATAAACCAGAAATACACTGATGTATAGCTAATCTCTAAAAGCCGTCACGCCTTTCTTTCKGCATTTCTTCCAGTTTTCCTTTGTTTCATTATTGTCACTATGCGTGTTTCACTATAGCAAATATATTGCACAACAATACAAAAAAACTAAAAATGAAATAAAAGAATTCTAGCMCGTTGTTGMAAATAAATCCCCATTCCCTTTCTGTGGGAACATATCTTCGATAAAGCTTTTGATCTATATGACCTTTCCATAATTTTTCAGATATGATAAAACTGATCAAATACAACTTTTAATTTCAAATATCCACAGCGAGAATTCTCAAATACAACTAAATGTTATTATCATTTTAATTACAAATTCGTTCCKATGTTGGATATTTTCGATTTCCACGTCGTCTCCGAAGCGAGCCTCATCGTGCAAAATATAATATGATAGACGTCAAATTTCACATGTAGTAACAAATATGTTGAGAAAATCTTCAATCGCTTTGGTGGTTACCATTTTTGTTAATGGGTCACATGTAAGATGCGATGTTTAAGATGGGCTCAAATGATCTAAGGCTTTTTTTTCATACGCTGTTCTCGTGAGCCTTAAAGGTGCCAACGTTGCTATAATTGACAATGCTAAAAATGTGTCCTGTGTTTGAATGGCAGTAAAATGGATGTCATGAATTTTGCATTACGAGCGCAAGACGAACGGACTTAAATATTCTTTTATATTCAGCTGTTGAAAATTTTAATCTTCTTCGAAGTGGACTAAATTGTTGACATAGATGTGAAATGTAATGTTTACTTAACTGTTCGGTACAATTTCTATTTGCTAGTAACATGTGAAACTGAATTTTTAAGCCAAAAATTTGTTATTTTTGCGAACGGGTGCTATAATAAAATGGTCAAAGCCGTCATTTTTAATTTTTTTCTTTAATTAGAATCTATTATTTTAAAAATCCTATTGTCTGTTTCGTGAACGATTTTTGTTCAAATTTGCACCGGAAAATATCGGGAAAATACCAGGAAAAAGAAATCTTTCGTTTTTGAGGCGGGTACTCAATATATGTAAATACGGTGTGAATAAAAACAGTACAAAAAGTTGAAAAAGACGTCCTTTTCGCAGCGGGAAACTGAATCGCATTTGAATCTGAAGGATGTCAGTCAAAGTTGTTATTCATTCTTTTCGCTTGTAGTTGGTCCGTCGGCAGATGTACAAGAATTCGCACAATAAATACCTCTCTATGATATAAATCAGTACAGAAATAGTTTGGCTTTAATTTTTTTAGTTGGTGCATCAATTCAAAAGAACTGGAATTATTGTTATAGTCTTTTCGTATACTAGGAAACCGAAGTCACCTGCGTATCAAAGCCCTCTGTCAACAGAAACCTCTTGCATATGCAAAGCCCTCACTCGGAAAACCCACTTGTTTCTGTAATGTTATTGTTTTTCAGCTAAAGCAGCGAAAATTAAGGAATTTTTYAGTGAATAAAATAAACCYAAATAGCCGCCAATGGTCGTTAAACGTTTTGATTGTGATGTCATTTATTTTATCAAATAAATTCATACCTCTTCTGTAACGAAAAACTCGAATGGAATCGCCGCCAAAAGATCAATAACAAACCATGTTTGAAGATAATTGCAGGCAATCATTCTAGGATCGACTACGAGTTCGTCTGTCCCTTTTCTAGTRTATGTAGATCGAAAATTGATAAAAATATCTACGATGAACATCAAGTCCACTATGAAATTAGCAATAGCCATGTAGTATCCTTTTTGCAATTGTACAAAAGGAGACTGTCGCCCAGATCCACCAATGAAAGCAACAGCGAATGGTATTTCGATAGCGGTATATATCACAAGGGCTAAGACAAACCAGTCCCATGTTGCCTTGAACTTTGAATTGTGTAGAATAATGTGTTTAGGAAGATTGCGGTGTTGCAGCTTAGCCCTTGCATTRCTGGAYAGTTGATCTAGTTCTGACGGCTCGGCCATATCCTGTGCACAAAGAAAACAAAGTAAGTACTGAACTTCCATAAAAAAGAAGCTGTTAGTGTTCTTTATGTATATTAATAACCTAGTAACCCATATTGAGTGCTATATACCTGCATTGTACTTGAAAATGAAGTCAATACATTGCCAGCATTGGAAAAAAACGACCTTACTGCGCGATATTTGCCGGTTGAGGTCATTGAGGCTCTCACAGGGCTCGGATAGTTATGATCGAGTGGAAGATTAGGCCAATTTGGCTTCGTAGTCTCCAACACTAGCTATATATATATTAATTGATTGGGCTGTTTATGCTCAAGGACACCTGCACGCCATGCATGATTGTGTAGACTCTCGTGTGCCGTACCATGATACCGCGCGAAATACCAKGATCATATGTGAGCGAAATTATACTTTCAACACAAGGCTAACTAAAATATGCAAATGTTGCAGCAATGTCATTGGCTTCAACTAGCAACGTTTGAAACAATTGTTTTAGGTGAAACTTTTATAATCCGTTCCTTTTAAAGTCATCCYAAACCCCATTTTATCAAGAGCTGAAAATCCACAGTTTAAATTTTTCATGACTATGCAATAATTGATGGAGTAATCGAGCATTTTTTCTCATCAGAGAAACGTTGGCTTTGGGTGACGGTTGTCTTTTACGGTAACTAACTCTTCCGATGCGACGACAACGGTGAATTCAAATATCGCTGGTTTGAAGCTTGATCACATGYAATATTAATAAGTTGCCGAACAATAAAGAAACGAGAAATATAACTTAATCCTCATCTTTACAGAAAAGCTTTYTACTGGTTCTGAATAAATAAAGATTATTTTTAATACTTGTACATAAACATGAGTTATTTGAAATTTAAAAAACATTATTGTTCTTGGAATTGTTGACTGCGTATGTAAGTAGAGATGATCGAGGAAAAGACGAAGCTAGAGAAATACAGACTGGAGAAATGCCAGGATTATATCTCAAAATAAACTAAGAGAATGGAACGAAAAAAGAGTTTACAAGCGTTTATCAGGAAAAGTTATATTCAAACAATAGTCTAACTATATCYTTTCTGTCTGAAATATGTAGCTTTATACAATATCTCAATTTTGGTGATGAACTATTTGCAAGTGAATGAATGATTATGCATGTTTAAATTGTAATGTTATGTATATATTTGGGAAGCGTCATCTGTTTAAGTTACTCTAAATCTGTTATTAGTACCGTTTTRAACACACTAAAACACCGAATGTTATTACTTTGAGCAATTTAAACAATAATAAACATGACTACACACGGAATGATAAATGGACAAAGTATTGAACGAATATGCAGTTAAAATTCCCGTTGACGCGACTGATCCACAACAGACTTTCCTTGGCCCATATGCCAACACTACCTATTTCAAAATATACTAAATTTGTTCAAGTCAAAAAATGCCGAAACAATAATAACAAACTTGAATTACTTTTTAGCTGAAGTATAGAAGCAGTATTTTTGGAACTCTCAAATCATGGTAGAGATTGAGAGTGGGTATTTTTTCTTGGCCTATTATGGGTGAATCCCCACCTGTCATGAATTGCAGCAGTTCTTGCCGAGTGAGCCGATAGCCGTGAGAAACTTTTACTAGATTATCACACACAGTGAGCTCGTTTTAGACTAAGAAAAATACAAATATTCCTTACCATAACTGCAGTGGAGAGATCTAGAGCTGAATATGAAAGTGTTGCGTCAAAGTGATGAGAGTGTTACCGGACTCCGTTTATTTACAATTCAATTTTGCGGTTTTTTCATCGAAGTCAACTAAAAGATTCTAGTTGTGATTAATAGGCCAGGGTAAATGACTGTTGAAGTCCCTCAAGCAGTTATAATCTACTTTACATGAGCTAAAGGACGTATTTTAGAAAATGCAATGCCGCTAATAAGAGTAAATGCAAATGACTTTGCACAAACACTCTATGTATAAAAGTTGTGGAAAACTAAAACGTAAATTGATTACTCCCTTAATTTGGAAAATAGAATGAATGTTTTATCTCATGGACATCGCCTGAATGATGAAGTCACAAAAAACCACAAACAAAACGAGCTATCTAAGCTTTCACACAGCTGAATCATAAGAGAGTTTGGACGGTTGTATCGGACATGACGTACCTTATCATTAGAAGTTGGTAGAATTGAGATTGATCCTGATATCCCATCGATCATGGTATCAAAAGAGATAACTTTCCCCTTGACATTAGTTAACAATGAAGCGAAATTCCCGCTTTGAGGTMTGCCAACGTGAGTGAGTGTAGAGTACACAATTGGCTCTCAACCAATGAATACAGCACAACTGACGCCTTTATRGTATTTTAGTATTAATGTAAACATGAACCATAATCATGTACTCTAGTTGTATCGGAATCTTAGAAAGAAAGTGTTTAAAAGAAAGCACGGTTCGCTGTTAAGAACCTTGTTTATGCTCTTTACATATAGATCTTTTTTAATATCTTAAAAAAGTAATAGACATATATGTTAGGCAGTCGTGAAAATATCGGTAGAGTTGGSCACTTAGACGGCCAGGTTGTTTTCCCTGATCTATCAGTCCCTACACGCAGATGAAAACACTTCGGTCCTCAACAACCACTCCATAAAGASCCCATTTGTTACATTGCTTGTTTATCAGAACAATGTATTCCACCTACACTTCTTATGCAGTAACTTAAACGGTCACTGTGTTAAGTAGGCACGGTGAAATATGGAAAACCGACACAGTGCTTGGACACTCSATCGATCTGCACGCCGACTTTTCATCGTCAAACTAATTCTAATTAACGGGTTTTTTTTAAAAAAAAGATATTGCAATTGTGTACAAAAATGATGGTACGTTGCGCTTTATCGAAAACATAAATTCTAAATACGCTCTATTGACCAAAATAACTTCAAAATTCTGAAATAATTGCATTCCACAGTAGGTCGTTTAATTTAAAATGCACCATGAAGATCAATTAGTGTTTAATAATGTTCACCACACCCTTGTTCACTATTTATTCCTACACCAATCCGGTCCGGGTACTTCTTATCTGGAGACTAACCCAGTTAAGCGAGTTTTTTTTCACTGAAAGACACAAAACAGAAAAGACACCTCACAGCTCGTGAAACTGGATGAGCTGGCGTACTCTTTATATTGAAACAGCCCCTGTAACTACAGACGATTTGAAAAGAATTATAGAGTTAAAAGTTATGAGTGTTCGAGTGATGGCACTTTTGTCTTAAATAAAATTTGGATTTTCAAACTCTTATCACTCTTATCAGTGATCAGTTTGAAGGTAAAGAGGAGTTTATAAAACTAATTACTACATGAAAAACTCCCCTCTCCCTACCCCCTCATTTACGCGTTCGTGGGCGCCATAAAGAGTTTTGCTACTTTAAATAATATAAAAAATTCAACTGGTATTAAAGACTAAAGTCAATAACAAATTCAAGGCGACCCACGGATTATAATTACATTGTATTTTGAAATTTTTATGTTGGTTAAATGGAAAAGAAAAGGTTTCGCACATGAAGAAAGTTGCCACAGGAATCCCGCATTTTTGGACAGAAAGCAATCTCTTTTAAATTCAAGATGGCGGCTGAATCGGGATACATTGGGATGCATAAGCCTTTTTTACTTTTTCCATAGGGTAAAAATAACCCATTTTAGCATTAAAAACAAACAAACAAGTAAGCGATCAAAAATGCAACAACAACAACAAATTCAACAAAAAACAAACAAAATAAAAAATATGTAACTTCAAAATTCTGAAATGATTGCATTCCACAAATAGGGCGTTTAATYTAAAATGCACCATAAAGATTTAATTAGGGTTTAATAATGTTCACGCCATTCTTCACTATTTATTCCTACACCATTCCACGGGCATTTCAGTCTTATTTGGAGAGAACTAACCGTGTTAATCGAGTTTTTTTAAGGCTCAGCTGGAAGACACAAAACAGAAAAGACACAGTCACAGCTCGTTAACCTGGATGAGCTGGCGCACTCTTTATATTGAAACCGCCCCTGTAATTATAGAGTTAAAAGTTATGAGTCTTCGATTGATGGCACTTTCGTCTTTCTATAAAATTTGGACTTTTCAAACTCTTACCTGATCAGCTTCAAGGTAATGAGAAGTTTATAGAGCTAATTACTCTCCCTATACTACYCCTCCTTTTAGCGGCAGGCGTTCTTGTTCGTGGGCGTCAAAGGAGGTTTGCTACATTAAAGAGTTAACTATGACTATTTTTAGATTCCTATATAGGTGACAATTTTCACTTCTGAAGTAGATCAGACRTAAGCTATGGAAATCAGCGCACGCAGAATGACGTAATTCAAAAAAAGAGTTTCCTTCTCCGTTTCGTAATTTTCGCACGTGAGTAAGCGGCACACGTATGTTTCTCTTCCGCTTCTTTCGAAGACTAGAAAATGAACATAGACATCGATCGCTGTAAATCGAAATACAGGATTTTGCGGACTTGTACTGTTGAAACGAAACCCTATAACAAATAAAAATATAATAGTTATTGAGCTCTTGTGATAATAATCAAATCAACCAAATGTCGAATACTGCAAGCATTAATGCGTTTTCGAGTGATCSAAAAAGCATCGCTTCACTTGACGTTTTTAGCCCGTTGGCACAACATTTAATTTCCGCAATTGAAGTGAAGAGCTGGATCAAAGCTGAGGAAATTAAAGTAAATGAATTCCCTTTAATACTCATGATATTTTTTTTAATTTTCTACACTTTCKAGAGTTTTTTCCATGCGTTAATATTATAATAATCGTAACTTAAACGACTTGGACTCCTTTATCAAAGAAAAATGGATGAAAAAGCCGATTCATGCAAACCACTGATGCAGGAACTCTTCGACGATCGAATATCGCGGCCATTTTGCTAGGGAGCTGCAGGGAGAGAAGATGATCAAAGCAATTTATTAAGTCGTTAAGAGAAGAACTAACACCACAATGGGGTAGACTTTATATAACAATTACACGACACACTCTTATAATACAACATTAGTGTATTGCGGCCTTGGACGCACCATAATGCATTTCACGTTAAGATACTACTATATCACAGAAATCAAGGCTTATAACAGAGCTATTTCAGAAGTGTTGAATACTGCGATCAGTGCATAGCGTATTCCAAGKCCGAAATGCATTGCTGCTATTCGCTTTCCTCTAAGGGGCGTTTCAAATGTGGTCAAATGTATACTAAATCACTTTGTATCAAAAAACTTTACTGTGAAACTTAGCCGATAGCCACATAATTTTATATTTGTACCG